AGCACAGACTCGAGCCCAGGTGTCTAGCCGCTCCTGGAACACTGTCTCTCGCTGGCTCTCTCCGCGCGTTTCAGCTGGGAACCGTGGCGGTGTGGGCGAGCACAGACTCAAGCCCAGGTGTCTAGCTGCTCCTGGAACACTCTCCAACAATATTTAATCGGAAATGTAAAACTGAATACTTTCTGTATTCTCTTATTTTAATAATAAAAATGAAAATATCGCAAATTTTAGGTAATCTGTTCACTCCAATATTTTCTTCCTTGTACCGTAGAATGTGTCATAGGTTTTTATTTTTACACAAACTGAGAAAATGAGTTTTCTTTAGAAATCTTCATGGCCCTAGGTAACACTGCAAGCATATCGCAGTGTGAGATTTGAGAATCTATCTCCCAGAACACAGCAGAGACAGAGCACTAGTTACCAAAGAGATATGGGTAAAAAAAAAAACAAAAAAAACCCTTAAACCTTTATGTTGAAGTCACATCCTGACCAAAAGAGGAAATGGCAGCTCACTGGTCTCAGACTTATCTGATGCTGCACCTCAGGGAAGCCAACTGCTATTTTCTGTCCCTTCTGCAACAGCAAAAAGTGCACTAAGTAGAAGTAGTCTGAATTCAAAATGCTGAAGAGAAAACCATCCAATGTTTCAGAAAAGGAGAAACATCAAAAACCAAAGGTAAGATAATTTCATAATTAATAAATAAAACTAAAACATTTCATAGAAAACACACGCAGTGCTTTTATCTGTCTGTTGTTAAGTCAGTTTAAGCAAAGGACTGAGTGCAACGGCAAAAATAGAAAAGTTGCTTTGGAAAGTAAGACTTTAACAACTGACAATTACTGTCTCTGAAGGTTTTTTTAAATTGATTGGTTACACCTTTAACTGAAGTTTGAGTTCAGATCAACTCTACAAATCTCAATTTGGTTGTCTGTGTTTTAGAGGTTCGATGACTGCTTGAAATTTTCAATGGCCAAAAGGTTGTCGGTGTCTATTTAAGACTACCACAAGCATTTTACCTTGTAAGAGCTTAGCTTTTCTTAATGCATTTAATTATGAGAAGGTTGTAAGTGGAGTTATTTCAGTTAATGTGTAAATGGTAAAATATGATAGTCTGTTTTAGAGAGGCATTTTTTTTCTACTCTTTCCCTCAAACTAAAAAATTTTACTAGAAAGGATTAGGTTATGTTTTGAGAAATATCCAAACTCCATCAACTTGTGTGGTTGACCAGTTGGTGTTATGTAGAGTGCTATGCTACACTTTGTCTTGGCATTGATTTTACTTTAAAAAGTAGGTGTAGGATAAGAAAGTTTAAATTCTGTATCAGAACTCTAAATGTGATTCATGAATAATATTAAAAATTTATGAAATACTCAAGTTGGAGTGTTTCTCTAGTAAGTGTACATTTTTGAGGTCCTCAGATTAATAAAATTTTTATTCTCTGAATTACACTATGGCTAAGCCCAGATGTCTTTTTAAATGATTGATTTATTGCTTGCTATCAGCCTTTGTTAGGCACTTGTTTTAGACAAATGGGGTGGGAATTGATTGTGATCTTTCAAACTGATGTGGCAGTGGACACTGATCAATATTTTCAAACACTTTGGAAGTTACTGTATACATCTTTAAAGGAAATCAGAAACAAGTTATTTTTAATCTTTGAAACCAAGAATACTATAATTGTTTATCAATTCTAATATTTTCTGTCATAAAAATCTAATAAAGGCTAGAGGAACATCTTCAGTTCAAATTTATCTATGTAACATATTATGATTTCTTTTCTAATAAAATTAAAAAGGTCAAATAACATTTTTCCAATATGTACAAAAAAGTTTTTGGAACATATCACTTATTTCCTTATTTAGAATTAATTTTACATAAAATATATCTGACTCAATGTAACAAGTACTTATTTTGGAGGTGAGGAGATTGTAAAAATTAATATGAAGCCATAGCTTTTCTCAAATATTTAAAATTTAGACTATTTCATAAGTACTGAAGTATGTAGTGAGTTACTACCATATTATGTCACTGAATTATTTCTATATTGATGCTTTATCATCATTTGGCTTTATAGAAAAAACCATCCTAATCCGTGTAAAATACTTTTCACATCATTGACTTCTTCATTCATAAAATAAAAGCACATTTGATATAATTTACATCAAAGAACAAAAGATATCACAGAAAATAGTCATATTAAACATACTGACTTTTTTCTGTGAGTGAACTCCCATTTTCTTTAGGTAGAGGGGGGTTTCATTCTACGTGAATTTAAAGAGATGTGTGAGTTTAAATGCATAAGTGTAACTCACGTACACTTTATTGTTATAATTTTATTTTTATGTACATGTTTGCAATCCATGATATTGACATTTGTTTTATATTTGCATATAAATACTCTCTATCTTTCCCCTGTCTCCTGACCCCATTCCTTTGTGCAAATGTCTGCTTTTATTTTACTGTTTAATTGGGTTCTTTCTTTTTAATATGGAAGGAATATTTTTTCAATAATTATGTTTCTTAATTCACAGTTATTTCACTGTGTACTTTTCCTTGAATATTTTATTTATTAAGATCAGAATCCATGAAAGATGGCAAATATGGATGATAAGATGATCTTTACAAATTAGTGGCAGGTAAAAGGAGGAGTACAAGTCCCTTCATCTACTGAAAGGGAATGTAATCCTATACCTGTAAAATAAAATATAGCCACAAAGAAATTGGTCTGAAGTATGAGAAATCACCACTGTACCAGTTGCACAGCAGATGATAGTCTATCTCCTGATGCATGAACATACACTCTTTGTAGTATACACTCAAAATTTTGGAAAGGCATTTTCTGCAATAGTAAATGTTGAAATAGGTAAGAAGTAACAATATTAAAAATAAAAGGAAATATTGTTAAATAATTTAGTTCATGTTAAGCTCCATAAGTTACAGTTCAGGGGACCTACTACCCAATTCAGATGTAAGGCATATTATATCATATTATCTAAAGTAAAACTTGTGCTACTTGTATTTAAAAGAGAGTGAGTGGAAACAAATTAGAGTTAGGTAGCTGTAATAATAGAGGAGAATGTACTGTACATTTTGAAACCTGAAAGAAAGAAATTTAAATGTTTTCACCATAAAGAAAAGATGGAAACAGAGATGTTTGACATGATTTAAAATTTTACACAATGTATACATGTATCAGAACATCACAGGTACCTCACTAATATGAATAATTTTAATATTTTTATGTATTAGATAAGCATAAAATATAACAAAGAAAATAAATGGAACATTTTGGTCTTAGTATTTACAAATAGGTCTTATATTTGTCATAAGATTAAGAACATTCATGTGGTAATAGATTTTATAAAAATCCTGTATCCAAAGTAATCTTATTTTCTTATATTCACAATATTCACCAATAAACATACCCATGACTAAAAAAGAAATAAATCAAAATATACATCAATATACAGTTGTACTATTTATAATTTTATAATTAATGTGATAACTTTTTTATTTATTCCTCTATTTTTATTATGGCTTCTTTCCTTTGCATCACTGATAAGGCCAAGAGATTCAAATTAATCAGAAGACATTCACAGCATAGACTGAGATTCACATATCAAAGATATTTCCCAATGGAAATTCCAGAGCCTTTGGAGAATCATTATAAAATCAACCCATCTTATATGGTAGAAAGTTAATGAATTCTACCATGTTTAATATGTGTCTCAGCATTGTCTAGGTATAAAGGTAAACTCCAATTCTAAAAGAAATTTGATTAATAGTGATTAAATAATCTACATTTAGATTAGTTAAAAAAGAACTTTGTTAAAGTTTTGAACCTTCCTTCTTAAATTCTACTTTTACATTCCTACCACTAGTACTGATAGTGTATGTGCATGTACTATCATATCCATGGTTTTAAATTTATGAAATGTTTTCATACTATATTCTATAAATACTGAAATTTTAAAGCATAGTTTTACTTGTTTTTGACTATATTTTATTTTTATTCTTTATAGTTACTGTGAATTTGTTGCATACCAATTGCTCTGCTCAGAAGTAAATGTGCATTAATTTATTTAATATTTGTGATAACTGTGTGAAAGAATCACATATTTGGCCTCATACATAAAGCACCTAAGACATACAAACGGTTAATTATCATTTAAAAAGAAAAATAGACGGAGAATAAAACTGTCATGTGAAATATATATGAAGTCAGTTTCCTATACTGCCATTCTTAATTTTCTTGTTTTTCATACTGTTACAAGTAACAGGATTGTCGATGTTACTTCTGTTTCTGACTTAAATGACAGATCAACTTTAAGGAGACCAGGAGATCGTATTGTTAAAGGGCTTTTGTAATTTGAAAAAGGATTCAGTTCTTTATTTCCTTGTCTGATTAAATACAGGAAGTTCATCTATGAAACCTCTCCAGGTATTTGCCCAAGTTTCAAAATTTAGAATTATTAAAAAGAACCCAGAACTTTCCTAATACTCAAATACTTAGAAAAAATGGAGAACTAATGTTGAAATGAGTATAACAATCATTTTCCTTCTGCATCTAGTATAAGGCCTCCAGAGCAGACTTTCAATAAATGTTTGTGAAGTGAGTAGATTTTCTTTAATCTGTCTAAAGGGTCCTGGTTCACAAGTACTATGTATTTTTATTATTCTTGGTAGCAACTCCATCAGTGGGCATGTAATAAAGTTTTTGTGTAAATACAACTGCAATCATTTGTAAGGTGTATTTTCCCAATGCCAGTACACCCAATTTTGCACAATTATCCTGGAGAAGCACACTGTTACATAATATAAAGATTATGGCACAAACTTTTGAAAATAAAAAAGGAACAGATCCCACAAATAAAACTTAGTAAGTGTAATCAGAACAACTTGGCCTTTATTTGGCTGGATTAATGATCTGTGGTAATAAATGGTAACTGAGGTTTTCTTTGCCTGATGGAGATTCCAGTATCACTGTTATTGTAAAGGAAAACGTTGGAACAATGGCACTTCCTAAAATAGCCATTTTTTACCATTCTTTTTCATCTAAAGAGCATACTAAATGAGACACCATTAGTGTCACAGATGCTAATTTTCACTAGCAGTGACTGAAGTGGCATTCTTTCGCATTTGCATTTGATCCTAGCAGTGATGAGAGGTGATGAGTTGATTATGAGCTGTTTTCACTGCATTGCCCGCTGTGCAAATTTATGCTCCTAGACAAGGATGACACATAGTTGTGGCATTAAAAAGCTTTCTTCATTGCTTTTTGTATCAAGCCTATTAAAATACACTTTAACTCTTACTTAACCAGTTGTAAGACAGAGAATTATCTACTTGTATTGGTGCTTATTTCAGGACAGGCTCTTGCATGAGGTGTTAATGTCCATTAGCTTTTGAAAATCTTCTCAGAGCTCTTATGAGATAAGCATTATTTTTCCCAAGTTCACAAGGAAGAGAACAGTCCTGTAGATATGAAATGGTTTGGATACCCTAAGGTATCATTGCTAGTAAAAAAAAAAAAAAAAAAAAAAATGGGAATCTCTAGGACAGCTTTTCAGCTTCTAAGCCTGTGCCTCACTACTGTCCCTATTACTTCTTCATCTGGAATGCAATTTCAGGCAATATTTTAGATTAGTTCACTTGACTCTTTGACTTTTCAAAT